CAGAGCCCGACGTGGGGCTCGAACCCACAGACCGCTAGATCGTGACCTGAGCTGAAGTCGGACGTTTAACCGACTGAGCCACCCAGGCGCCCCTCTATTTTTAGTTTTTTGAGGAACCTCCATACTGTTTTCCAGAGTCGCTGCACCAGCTTGCATTCCCAAGGACCAAAGTTCTAATCAAGCCTTTCATTTATTTGTTATTATTATTTTTTTTATTTATTATGAAAATCTGTTCCTTGTTTTTACTTTATTCATTCATTCATTTTTAAAGTAAACTCTGTGCTCAACATGGGACTTGAACTTACAACCCAAGATCAAAAGTTGGATGCTCTAGCAACTAAGCCAGCCAGGCACCCTCCTCCCGCCTTGTTTTTACTTTAAGTGGCTTTTTCTGGAGCCGGGATTTCTTGGAAAAGACAGACAACTTCTATAGTTCACCCTTAAAAAGCGGGTTTGAACTGTGCTTGTCCATTTTATGTGGAGTTTTTATATAGTATAATACTGTAAAATGCATTTGCTCTACCTTGTGATTTTCTTAACATTTTCTTTTCTCGAACTTACCTAATCGTAAGAATACATTGTCTAATACACACATCTGTGTTCAGCTGTTAATGTTTTTGGGGAAGGCTTCCTGGTCAACAGTGGGCTGTTAAGTTTTTGGAGAGTCCAAGGTTACATGTAGATTTTTTGACGGCATGGCCTGTGGGTGCCCCGGTTCCCACTCCCACGTTGTTCAAGGGTCAGCTGCGTTTCGTTTTCGGAAGCAGAGTTCCTTTTGAATTTGGGATAACCCACTGGTGCCCACCTCTCTGGACTGCAGCGTCCAGCTGCTTACGCCTCACTTGACCGCGTGGCGTTGACTCTTCCAGCTGGTGAGCCCTGTCGGTGAACGCCATCCAGACCCGCCTTCTAAGAGTCTTACTCTCCCTCATTCCAGATTCGCAGGCTGAGGATCGAGATCGAGAAGCTGCAGTGGCTGCACCAACAGGAGCTCTCGGAAATGAAGCACAACTTGGGTAAGTCCTGGTGAACTGGCCTGCGCCGAGGGCGCTTTTGGGTGTGAACTTCTCCGCAGCTCTGGAGGCAGGTGCCTGCGTGAATGGAGTCAAAAGTAGGCTTGGGGATGTGATGTCCCGCTGCTGGGGAGACCACAGAATCCTGGAGAGTCTAACCAGTGGGCACGAGGTGTAAGAGCAGGTGTTGTGGGGGTGGGTTCCTTCTTCTTTTCTTTTCAAAATAACCAACATCAGTAGTAGGAGTAGCAGCAGCAACAGCCGTAGCTGTTCCTGTTTACTGAGCTCTGACTCAGCAACCGTTTTAAGTACTTTGCCACGCATCCAAATTCTCATGGAAACCCTTCTGGTGAAGAGCTCTGTTATCCCCGTTTTTAGGTAAAAGCAAGTGGGGCACAGACATGTTGAGGAAGTTGCTCAGAGTTACACAGCTGCGATTCGGGCGTGGGCACTCTGGGTCCAGACCTTCCCTCCGAACCACGGAATATTGGGCATTTTCACAGATTCTCAAACACTTGGTGTGTGGCCCGCACTGCGGAGAAACCTACTTTGCTGGTTGGTGCAGACTGAGTGCTGTTTCGGCCTATCGTGTGTCCCTGTTGTGAAAGGCTTTCCCCCCAAAGGTAGAGCACTTCCCTTGAGACCCTCATGTAGTGTCAGCCTCAGAGCCAGAATGCTGGAGGCCATCGTGTCTCCCTCGTCACGGGGGCAGGCCCAGGTGTGCCCCCTGTCACAGGTGACACACGTTGAAATCGTGCATCGCAAACTTACCTTAGGAGGCCGCCCTTGGGAGGAGGGAGCCCTCTGCTTCCCTGCTTGTTGCCACGCAGGAAGTTTATTCGGTTCTTGTGGCTGCTTGTTACTTTTATGCAGGATCTCTCCATTAAAAAAAAAAATTTTTTTTTTTACATTTATTTATTTTTGAGAGACAGAGAGAGACAGAGCACAAGTGGGGGAATGGCAGAGAGAGAGGGAGACCCAGAATCCGAAACGGGCTCCAGGCTCCGAGCTGTCAGCACAGAGCCCGACTTTCGGGGCTCAGACTCACAAACCGTGAGATCATGACCTGAGCCGAAGTCGGACGCTCAACCCACTGAGCCGCCCAGACACCCCAGAATCGCTCCATTTTTAAATAATTAGCTGCATGTTTGAAAAAAAAAAAAAAAAAAAAAAAAAAAAAAAAAAGTACCTGCGGGCAGGCCAGAACGTGCCCATGGTCTGCAGGCTTCTAGTTAAAGGGACAGAAAGCTAGTGTCTAACACGAGTGCAAGGGGGTAATTTTCTTTTCCTGGTGTTTTTTTTAGACATGTGCATGTGTGCTTGTTGTTTTGTTTTTGTTTGTAATTTTCAGTAAGAGAATCTTAATGAATTTTAGCGGGATCATTTACTTTTCTTTTGGTGTGCAGGCCACCCCCGCCCCGGGGTGAATGGCATGGGAACCTTCCTATCTGAAGTGAAATTAGCGAAGCCTCAGCGGACTGAGCACTTTGGTGGTTGATCGGTCAGAGCGAGTCACAACGCCCTGTCTGGTAGATTTACTCCGTGGCCACTGAGCTCACCGAATAGAAAGTGTGTCTGAGCTCTAGTGCCAGCTGTGCCCTTATTGGCTGTATGCCTCAGTTTCCTCATCTATGAAAGGGATTTTTTTTTTAAAGCTTATTTATTTATTTTGGAGAGAGAGAAGGGGGGGGCAGGGGTGAGGAATCCCAAGCAGGGATCCCCACATGGGGCTCGAACTCAGGAACCATGCAATCATGACCTGAGTGGCAAGCAAGAGTCCGACACTTGGCTGACTGAGCCGCCTGGGTGGCCCCCGAAAGGAACGGTCTGGTTAGAGCTGGTCTCCCAGGATTAGTATGAAGGTGAAGTGAGTTGATCCAGGGTGCAACACGAGGTGCCTTGTAGTATTTGGTTGCTAGAAAAGTCCATGCTGGTGACAAAACTCAGAGTGGGCTTCGTGGAAATTGGGTCACGGGTTTATTCGACGACTTCCCCCAGGATCCCCGTGGGGCTCCGGCTCCCTGCGTGCTAGGCGGCTGGCGTTCTCTCTCCCCGCACAGCTCTGTCTGATCACGTGACAAATGCTCGCTTTACAGATGCAGATATTGGGGCTCGGCGAGGCTAGGTTACTCGCCTGGGGGGGGGGGGGGGG